CGTACGACAGCAAAAAAACAACATTTGGTTATGTGAAATGGATTAGCATTTATGTAGGTCCAATCAGTACTGTTGTATCGTCTATTTCGTCAACCGAACGTTACTACCCGGACCTGCTCGACGATTATTATTGCAAATGTCATTTCTTTCTCCCTGGTCAATTAATCCAGAATCAATTGGGTATAAGTACGTTATTTTAGAATTATTTTCATTTGGTTTCACGTGATAGTTATTCTGATTTATCATATAGCATTACAAACAGGAAGTCCTCGGCATGGGTCAGAGTACTAGTACACCCCAGACCACTCGTTTTGATGTATGGTCCGGATGTGGCTTGTGGGTAAGAATAGAAAATGAATTACGATGAGGTTGTGATTATTTGGATTTTTGAGAACGGATTGTTACTATTGAAATGAAATTATAACGTCCAGGGGTGAATTGTTAATAGGTGAAGTGATTTTAAAATACATAAGTAGTTCATCGTCTTGCGTACACCGCAACAACAAAGGTTTATTTTTCAACACGGATCTCCAGTCAAGAGGATGACGTTTGGACGTAACCCCGGAGTTTAACCATAGACAATATAGTAAGAAGGACAAGCAACTCCAGCGATTCTATTTTAGCAGGGTAGGCTGGAAAAAAGTTAAGCTGATTCAAACTAACCGTTAACATAAACTAAATGTTTATTTCGATTTCTCGTTAAATGCGTGTTTTTAGGCGGCGAGAGTCGTGAACTCTCCGAAATGCGTAATTTCGTTGACGAGAGTCGCCTACCGTATTCCAATCGGTATTCTAAATGGCCGTTGCTGATCACGAGTTCCCGTGTGTAGATGATTTGCTCGATGTTTTTTTTTGGATTTTGATGACGGTGAAAATGATAGTGAAGAAGATCCAAAAGCAGGAGACACAGTAATTCATGTTAACAACCATGTGTGTGATTCAGAGCCCGGGCATCAACATCGAAAATAGCGAAGATTTGCGTGTTTTTTTTGCGATCGTCACGTAAAAGAAACCCTTTGAAACGCTAACAAAAAACTGAAAATAGTGAAAATAAAATTATAAAGAAAATCGTGCCCCATTTATACACAAGTATTCGAATTATTTTGTTGAAATTATTAATAAAAACAGGATATAACGTAGGTAGACGTGCATTCAGGCTGAAAGACTGGACGTGTAGTCAAGATGGCGACAGACGTGAAAACGGAATGAAAGTCTATTAAAAAAATGCGAGACAGAGAACAACAAGAAACAAGCGTGCATCATGAAAACAATAATATTCGTGTATTTTGTCGAATACGGGGTACAAACTTACACATGCATTCCGTTTGAAAGAGTGCGAATAGGTAGTCAAGATGACGACAGACATGAAAACGGACGGATTGAAAGTTAATTTCAAAAAAAAGTGTAAGACAGAGAACAACAAAAAACGAGCACAGTCGGTTGAAAATAACTTAGTAATAAGAAGATTCATGCATCATTATATCTAAAATATTCGAGTATTTTGTCAAAAACGGGGTACAACCTTAGAAATGAATTCCGGTTGAAAGAGTGTGAGCTATAGTCAAGATGGTGACAGACGGGAAAACATACGGATTCAGTCTGTTTGAAAAAAAATGCGTGGCAGAGAACAATAAAAAACGAGCGTAGTCGGTGAACAATAACATAATAAGAAGATTAATGCATCATGAAAACAAAAATATTTAAATATTTTGTCGAAAGGGGTACAAACTGAATATAGCATGTACGGAACCGAAAATTACTGCCGTCTAAAACTAACTTTTAATTATATTCAATTAAACAGGAACATATATATTAAAAAGTAATATTTACTAGTGAACCGCGTTCACGAGAACATCTGATCACTATTGTGTGCTCGAAAGATGCGTATTGCAGAAAGAAAACGACTCGTTTGGGGAAAGATACTTGTAGTTCGATACGAAAGCAGTGACATCGCATCGTAGTAAATATGACGTCATTGTTTACTTGCTCATTGTAATATTCCAGCCCAGCTTGCATTGGGCATACGACGTTTGACATTGGTGTTACTATACTACTATACTGTCTGATTGGGAGTAAAACACGAAAGTGGAAGAGCTGTCCATGCATCGACCAATCAGACAAGAGCTCACAAACACCAACGAAATATTTGTTGCTGTACATAACAAAGGGGTTTGGCACTAAAAACATTGGAACGTTTATAGGCTTAACATTGGATTTAGATCGTGTTATAATCCAAATCCCCTAGAAAGAGTTGTGAGCACAAATTTGTATATGCTTCATTATGTGATTACTGTACAATAGTGAATAGTGCTTGATCATGAAACGCATTATTTGATATATTTTGTTTTCAAAAACGATAATGTCAATGATTATTTACCATTTTATTTTTACCAGGTGTAAATACATTTTATAATATCAATATTTAGTTTGTGTTTTGCTTTTTCAAAGTGTTGCGATGATGAACTCTTTTTAATACATGTTCCTGGTGGATACACTTTACAAAGTGTGTGTCTAGTAAAAACACTTTTAAAAGTGTAGAGACAATAAGCACTTTTTATACATATTTCTGGTGGAAACACTTTTCACAACGTGTTCCTAATGCAAACACTTTACATAATGTGTTATATGCAAAAACATCCCTGATAATAAAAGCGTTTTCAAAATATACACTTCTCGCAATTATGCAGATTATAAACAGTGGGACAAGCTGTTAAACACTTTAAATGTTTTATCGCAAAAACTTTAAAAATGTTTTATTTTAAAACAGTGGAGATTTTAAGAAAAACGCTTAATGTGTTTAATTATGGGAAAAAAAACCACCTAGATTTACAGTGTGGTATCTTATACTCGAATTAAATAAATGTCAATATCGTTCATACGGTATAATATATTTCAATCTCAAAACCTCCTTAAATTCTGAAATTATGAATTCTAATCCATCCATGTAATGCTCACTTGACTATTGAGTACCACCATAGACTGAGTCAATGCTTGCTCTAAAACGACTTCTTATGTGGACCAATTGTCTTCTGTTAAATGTATACAAGTTGGAGTTGCCCCTAATAGCTGGCGTTACGTTGGTCTTATTTTGATTTCGATGCTGGACTGTTTCACGCTCGGCAATTGACAAATAGCCAGGTTCTCACATACTGTATATTTTACGATTATCATTATTTTGTTAAGGTAGAGTAACTGTTGACGATGACTTATGGGTTAGAGATTTGATTTTTCAAAATCTCTGGATGGAAGCGTCAAATGTTATCCCGAAATATCCCTTACCATACCAAACATCATAGGTTCCATAACAAATCAAAAGAAATTCTTTATATATTCAATGCACATAGTTGGCAAACTCTTTTGTTTATCAGTGACAATTTCGCAATTGATTTTCCATTATTTGTCTTAACACATTTAACGTGAACATACAGCAGAATTTTTTTCTGCCATTTCCAATACCAGTGAATCGGCCAATTTTGTTTGGATTAGTGCCACATTTAAATCTTAAGTGATAAAGATGTAAATTGATTTGAACTTAATTTTCACTGACCTTAAATTTCACTACTTTGTTTTAACTGTTTTCACGAATCTGTCAAGAAAACAATTTGTTTTCTTGTTATTGCACATGATCATGTAGATTTTATTTAAAGAATTTAAGCGAAATTAAAATCCAGTGAATAATTAATGCATTTACAGTATTTTGAATAATTCATTTTAAAACAATCAATTATATATACCTTAGTGGTTTAAGTCACTTTTTTAGTATTGCCTGCTTAAAGTAGAGTCCCGAATTTGTAACAATGTGTTACCAACAAAGTGTTCACCAATCTATACCTTAATTATGTATTCATGAACTACCAAGGATTTTAATCAACATACATGAGTTTCGTTGCCATTTGTACATTAATATAAGACTTATCTAGACAAGTGTTATTTTGAATTGCATGTGCTTGTACTATGTAAATGGTGGGACATAACAAATGTTTTTGACAATCGTTAAATTGTTAAAATTTTGCATTTGTGTCGGTAGAAGGAAAAAATGACAAAGATTTATTATTTCTTGGGTGTTTGTAATGATACTCTTTTTTTATTTATACTATTTATTACGTATGTATCAGTATTCCACAATACCAGAATTTATTCAAAGTAAAACGTCACTTTTCTTCGCATGATTTTTCATCAGAGTTGTCCCCACAGTTATCATAACCATCGCATTTCCATGACAACGCTTTACATAATCCATTATCGCAACGAAACTGGTCTTCCCCGCAAACTGATTAAAAAAGAGTAAAATTTATTGACTTATTCATACGAATAATAACCGCGCGAGTTTGGTGATGTCAAGAACGCCGGACACAGTATCGTATTTATTACGATTCAAGTCTAAAATAAATTAGTGTTTATAAAATGCTAATGATTCGTCGTCATCAGTAGGAAACCCGATAGTCTGTCGTAGTATTAAATAAATTTAACAGTCAATCAGAGCCCACAAATTGTTAGGAAACCGAAAACCTTGATGTTTTCCCGTTTTATTCATTACTATCAATGCATTGTGTGTTTATTTAAAGACATATTTACATTTGTGCCAAAAAAGTATCGTCGGCTAATATTTTTGAATAAGTACAGAAATGTTTGTAAAGCTGGTCACCACGACATTAACAATTCTTTGCAACAAGAGTACAACAACATACTGGATCACTCGAGACATGAAACACAGATAATGCATATTCAGTACGTAAACAAAATGAATAATAAATACCGGGCTTTGAATGTCATGTCTTGAAAGCGAAGCACGGAAGGTATTACAAATTAGATGGTTTTAGTGTATCCAAAACATTCCTGCCATTAAAGACTTTGAAAATATTATAATGATTGCAGTGCTCTGTTATGCGGACTGCTCTGTTGAACACAACGTTGTGTTGTTTTTCACGGACAATGACGATATAATTATTTGCTGTGCATTTCGTGTTATATGATAATATAATTGATTATATTATTCATACTTATTCACAATTGTTTTCGTCTGAACCGTCTCCACAGTCGTCGTTGCCGTCACAGAGATAGTATATTGGAACACAATATCTCGTCTGTGAACACCGCATGGTAAACGCACGACATTCTGCAAAATGAACGAGATGACAACCATATTACAATCATCAAATTGACAGGTTATCTATTGTATTGTATTGAAATCAACGTGTAAGAACAATCCACTCACCACAATCCTTCTCGTCGCTTTTATCGGAGCAATCAAAGTTCATGTCACAGACAGGAGAGGGATGATCTGGTCGTCGCGTCAATTCATAACCATTGTCACAGACAAAAGTCGCTATAAATATAAAATGTTCAGATTATACTCAAACAGCGAATAAAGATGAAATCAAATGTACACAGCAATTATTTACAATGTAGTATGGAAGATGAGTCAAATAATACTTACTTTGTAGATATACTTTTATTTTTTAGATAGCAAACTTGATCTTCGTATTTTAGAGGGCATTGACAGTTTAACAAAAAAACGTTGGACAGTGCATTTACGAGTTCTTTAGATAACACGGTGATAATTCTCAATTTGATTATCGCAGGACAAAATAGTAGTAACACGTATATATGACAGTGATATGTTTGAAAAAAATAACTTACCGCAATCCTGTTCGTCAGAATTATCGCCACAAGAGTCATATCCGTCACACCGATCATAATACCACTTACAAAGACCATTATCACATCGAAATCTGTCAGCACTGTCATCACATGCTAATTTTAACAAATGAGATATGTTTGGCCATGATAAAGTGTTTACAATTCATTATGCCTATATTCTGTACATTAACAAATTTAAAATGAAACTATCAGACAATATATGTATATGTATATAACATTTCTATGGGATTTCTACGTTTGAAAATCTCACAAAACGCAATTTATTCAAGAACAAAAATAAAAACAAAAACAAACAAAAAAACATGCATTCATATTGGTAATCAAAAAGGCACACAATTTTAGTTTCTTAGCAATGAGCTAGACAGCTCTGTGATATACCTCATAAACATAGAATGACTGGAAACTTACGACAATCTTGCTCATCACTTTGGTCAACACAATCGGGATATCCATCACAAGAAAAATTTCCTTGGGCTAGAACCTGTCCATTATCGCACACAAAGTACACTACAGCAAAAAATGTAATATTTACGGCTTGGTATGTACTTTGAATTGTGCACTCACAATTGTGTTATAACTTTAATATGAAGTCGTCATGCCAATCTCTTATCCATGCGTAACGTCATTGTCGTAATATGTTACAACAATAATGAATTCCTATAGCAACATGTTGGATGAGGAAAATGATCAATGTCAATTCGGCGGTCGTCGTCGCACCGCGTTTTGTTCTATAAGGGATTTATAGCGACATATACAACGCGTATAAAACACTAAAATTCGATAACGCGCTGTGCGGCGACCACCGCCCCTTTAACCTTAACATATTTATCTCAAACGTCTGAGTCGTTTTGATGTATTGGGCAACAATGAAAACATTCATTAAATGTGCCAAACTTTCTGTTCGATTAGGGTCTATAGTATGAGTAACGCGATCATAATAGGTTGTCTCCGCATTTTGTTTATGATTAGAAAAATAATATTATGCCACACCAAACACATTTTGCAACAGATTGGTGCTATGAAAACTTCCAAAAATAGAATAAATACACGATGAATATTTCATTTTTTTTACATTAACATTTTTAAAATATGAACTGAAGTCTGCCATAAAGAACATCAATATTAATATAGTTTCATGTTATGATGTAACTCACCACAATTTTTCTCATCACTGTTGTCACCACAGTCATCGTAGTTATTACATATGCTTTGCTCAGGTTTACATAAACCATTATCACACTTGAACGCGCCTACATCGCATTCTAGAAACATGAGGTATCACGGGTAATGGAAAAAAACAAACAATCACTAGCTGAGTTTAATAACGATTCCTTTCATACAACATCAAAATATAAACGCTACACACGACAACAACAACAGAAACAACAATATAAATTGTAAATTAAATCAAACAAAACAATGATTTTGTCTGGTTCTCTGTATGGGACCATTGATGTGTGACTTATGCTTGATGTAAGAACGCAGTACAAGATATGTTGTGATTCAATCGTACCTTAGAAATGACGTTAAACTGGCAGACGGAATAATGATATACATAAGTATTTTTACTGCAAATGTATAATGTTCGTGAAAATATTGTATAATTGAATCTTACCACAATTCTTCTCATCCGATTTGTCTTCGCAATTAAACCAATAATCGCACTCAGAATCGAAAGGAACCAAACTTCCGTCGTCACACTGAAAATCAGCTGAATAGACAATTGGAGACGAGTTAATACTCATGAGTGAATTTCTGGCAGGTTACAATTTGAAGTGTAACGATAGCAAATGTATGCGAAAATAATATTTTGATTTCTCTTTGTGTGTAAAATGAGAACATGTGGTTACTTTGTGTTGAAATAGGACAACAGGGTTATTTGTTATATGTGGTGAGACTACATGGTTGCATTGGCATTGTCTTTGAATCAAAGGCCACGCTTCTTAGAAACATAGAAAGTTGTGGTTTTCATAACGTAGTCTCTTTTGCCATCCCCATGAATGCTATATTAATTTTCTATGACAATGAGCAGATACCAGAAAATGATATTTCATTGAGGAACTGCAAAACAGTAATGTTGACATACAATCACAAAACTGTTTATCAACAATCAAAGATGTCGAGAAATTAATATAGCTGCTACATATTTATAATTACTAATAAGCAGTCATTGGATACGTCAAATAGAATTTAATGATTGGCCGTTTTCATCGATGATGTCATTGTTTTTTTTGATTCAAGGCTACAGTCACATGTGTCTCAGTGATCTTTGTACATAGAAAAAAAACTTTTGTAACATTCAAAGCACAATATCGTGTTAATATCAAAAAAACTCACCACATAATTCTGTACTTTCATCAGATCCATCACTACAGTCTTCAGCGCCATTACATCGCAGCCAAAGGCCGACACAACTACCATCTCCACACGTAAAATCGTAGTACTCGCATACTATATATATATATATCGATATGATTATGTATAATATTTGAATGGTATTGTTCCGTCGAAAGCAATATAAACAGGCATTTAATTTTAATGAATTGCGAGACTTATCGTCACTTGTATTGTTGACAGAACGTGTTACCGACGTAGTGCAAAATACAAATATCGTCATATCTCAGCAAGCGTTATGTTCGGTGTTTCTTGTTTGCTGAATTACATAGCAGTGGTGTTGAATGATAAACGGGTCACATGTTAATGTTGGTTTTGAGTGAAGTGTAGTATGACACAAGTAGTATGTTTGACCACTAACATGGCCAATATCACATTTTTAATGCTCTGAAAGAGTTTAAGACTCGATATGGTTCAATTCTACTCACTAATTGTAATGACTAACGTTTCTATATTGAAATATTCAATTTGTGAATAAACATCATTGAACAAAAGTACATTTACGACCACACCACCAATTTACTACTACCACCACATAACATTAACAAACACTAGCATCACCAAGTACCCCTTATTATCAACGAACACACAAGGCAGGATGGGGGATATTAAAGACAATACTTCTACAGTTCCAGTAGAAGTTATTCAGAATTTCAAAAATAATTTCGTCCATATATATGTAAAGTGAGAAATTGTTCAAAATATAACGGAGTTTTTTAAACCGACCACATTAACAATAAGTGTGTGGTTCCCCGAAAGGTGTGTGACGTTTATACACGATTCAATGTATCATAATGCACCAAAATGTATATCAGATATGTAAATCAATTATGCAAATTATATAACACACGACAGCGCATTACGAGGTTATGTATCATACTTAACGTCACTGTATTTCAGAGTAATTTATCTATATAATGCAAGACATCGTAACTCATCTGACATTGCACATATTAAGGATGAACTATTTAAAAGTACCAACGATATTCAAGAGTGATTACTAGTCTTAACACAAACTTTAAAAAATATCATATGCTAAAATTTGAATTTTGTAGAGCTATGGAGTATTAACAGTGTGGAATGAAACATAAAAAAAAATATGCTGTGATGGTTCTGCGTGTGAAGGTGTGTTAACATCTTAAATCACAATCAATCTTACCACAGTTGTCTTCATCGCTGTTATCACCACAGTCATCATAGTGGTTACACACTGAATGACTTTCGTCAATACATCTTCCGTTTGTACATTGAAATTGATCATCTTTGCATTCTATAATAACACAAATAAATATCATAACATGCCCATAATTTGTAATCGATTATGTTATTGTTAAAGGTTATCGAAGAATCATCTATTACTCCATTGCGTGTCATTGTCCAGGTATGCAAAATATAAAATCATAATAAAATATAAACGATTTTACTTAACGTGTTTATCGACTAGATACGTCTGTGGAACACCTACTTAGTGGGTCATTGTGTGTATTTTACAAAAAGCCGAAATAACGCATGTTGATTCATTATCGTTAAATTATATTTTTTTTTCAAAGTCTCGTATTGAAGTCAAATCGATTCTATATTCTACAGTTTCTCACATATGCTAAACACTTCATTTTTGGCTAAATAAATATTTATGTTATCATTTGTCACTGTTAAATATTATTATATCTTACACCTGTTTTTCACATTGGTAAGTAAAGTTCGCCAAATATTAAATGATACACACGGCTGTAAGGATTCATTAAAACAATTCATGAGCACAAAACAGTTGACAAGTACATTACAATACATATTTATTCTGGTTGTGGCTCCAATTTACATAATCTGTTTGGTGTTCGTCGTTACTGAAATACTCACCACAATTGAGTTCATCTGTGAAATCTTCACAAATAGGCCAACCATTACATCGTTCCCATGGACCAAAACATCTACTACTGTTTTTACACTTTTCCATGGGAGGACGACAATCAGCTGTTAACAAACATAATTTCATTATTATAAATTCCATTCAAAGTTGTTTTTCACTTTAAATAGATGTTTTATAGTAGAACAGCTTATTTTATATTTCCTGGGAAAATTTTCATTATACTTGTACACCTACCCTAGAAACAAAATGTATTCATTGGTCTATAAGTGTGAGGAAATCGCCGACACATTTCGACCCTTTGTATTTAATTTGGTAGCATGAACAAGAACCGCAAAGATCACTATATGGTTCGAGTGTTTTGTTAGTAGTAAATACCGCTATCTTGATTGACCAGGCGAGTCCTAAAATAAGGTTGAGTGGGATGAAAGGTGACCGTAAAATGATCATAAATTTATTGTGTTAAATCGTGAAGCTATTGTCTCAAGGCACCATGAAAATGGCATTCTTTTCTTTGTTACAACTCCACAGATCACAATGTTAAAGAAAACTTTATTTTGTTTGCCACTTTTTAAAACCCGTAGTTGTTAAATAATTTGAAAACAATAACAAGTACTCCATCATTCGCTATATATATTTTTCAGCCTATGTCACCAGACTCAAATTTAAGATATGATAAGATATATTATCTCTGCCACAGGAACCTATGTTAAAAGCACTATAATACTTACAAAATGACCACTATCCACTAAAACACAATCATCATTTTCTCAATAATTAAGCTGGTGGCCCCAACCCTTTTAAAGTCAATAAGTGAACTAAATGTACCTTAATGCACCTATGTTACAGTTGAGTAAAGAGATGATTATCTTAATTGTCTGGGACTACTTTTGATACTTTAGATTATTGTCACTTTGTGAGTACTTGTGATCATGACCTCGTGTGTTTGGATAAAGAACCCACGATTTTGGGGTCAAACGTTAGAATTCCATACTGTTTGGATTCGTTCATTGACATCTTTGCAGGCGCATTTAACATAGGAGACTCGGATATCCTGATGACGAACTGATTACAGCTAATTGCTTAGAGTATTTAGTTATAAAATTTGGGTATTCGGATTAGAAAATCACTTACGATACACCGGATTAAAGCTAATGATGAGAAGAAATAATAACGAAAGGCATACCGGTACTGTCATAATATTTAGAGAAACCGACTTTATAATTATAATTATTAGTATTATAATATTTTCAGGTGAGGATGTTGTGGAACTGAAACACTATGGATAAAGACATAATTAGCTATAAGATTATATATGATACGCATCGGTGATGTATTTCAAAAACCCATTGATCATACAGTAATGAATTGGAGACGAAAACAGGAATGCGTGGAATGGTTATTGCATCTACTGACAGTTTTAGCATGTTTTCCGAGCCGATGGTACACAATAATACGAAACTTGTTTGGCGTAACGGTGAACTATATTGAAAGTGAAAAGTATTTCGTGCAGACAATAAGCATTTGAGGCATTGTAGGTGTGTGGAATAATACATTGCCATTGACAGAATACTTACATTATTTTGCTCATGCGATGAGAAAATCGAGAAGCACAGAACATCACCCCGCCTCAATAATACTTTGCGGGTCTAGTGACATTGAAACTCATTAGTGTTATAAAGGCATATTTTCAGCGTTAAAATTGTTATTCGTTGTCACTTCCTTATGTGTATTGTTTTGACGCGTCTATTCATTTCAGTACTTGAGTTTGAAAAATAAGAACAATTCAGCCTTTCGTTGAATACTTCACGTAAATAGTTATGGCATAAATCATCACTAACAATCAAAACTAATAGTAAATTGCAATCTCGACAAATCCCGTTGTTGTAATTTGGCCACGCCATAACTTCCGTCATCGTGATATTATTTCTGACGTGAGGTCAAAGAATAATCAATCTTTTATTTGTAAGGTTTTATGTTCGCGTTTCTTGTGTTATTATTATTCTCCATTATTATTCATCTGTCACTGAAACGCCGTGAGTTACAGCGTGCTGTAATTTTGAGGTATTTTACGGGATATTTTCAGCCTACCATATTAGGAAATATGAATTCCAAATATGGAATGATTACGCGTGTAAGCGTACTCTAATAATAAAAACAAACATGACTGCCACCAGGGTTTGACCGAACTCCATAAAAAGATGTTCGCTAATTTTGTTTTAAACTTTTTAGATTTCGGCAATTCCATGATGTATCCTTGGTAGGAAAAGATGTATAATAATACGGTTATTACGAAGCTACCTCTAAGTATGCACCAGACAGTGCGCGTCGGTCCAAACTGCCGCTGTACTGTCTTCGTGCATACTTTGAGGTATTTTCGTAATAACCTTATATGACAACTCTGTGACATGAGGCTGTAACAAGGTTTTGTAAGCTACACTTAATAGAAATAGATAGAAAAATAACCACTTATGCAAAATTATACCACAATAAGGATTCATAATAATTCATGAATACATTCTCAGTTTTCTATACACTTTTTCACACTTGATTTGTGAATATTATTTTCAGCGTGCAGATTTTGATTTGGAATATTGTGAATTATATTCTATTAATCTGGTAAAATTGGAACTATTTATTGGCTGTATAAATGGAATATATGTTGCCCTTTGCTGCTGATAATGCATCACAATTATATTATATTATATTATATTATATTATATTATATTATATTATATTATATTATATTATATTATATTATATTATATTATATTATATTATATTATATTATATTATATTATATTATATTATATTATATTATATTGTATTATATTATATTATATTAGATTAGATTAGATTAGATTAGATTAGATTATCATTGTATATTATTGTCGTTTATTGGTTTGTAATTTGGATGTAAATAATGCCTTATTATTATTTCATCTTTGCACAATTAATTGTTGGGAATACTTACGACAATTAACCTCGTCTTCTCCATTAGCACAGTCAGGAATTCCATTACAAACTTGGTCCATATGAATACAGTCTTCATCATTGCACCGATACATTAAGTCTCTTAAACATTCAGTAACATAAGCACCAGGAATGGAGGCTAAAAATAAAATGATGCATTAAAAAAACAAGAATAAACGTACGCTCCTAGCTTCGATGGCATGAGTTTAAGTAACATAATTTACTACTTTTTTAATCACAGGAAACCTGCCTGAATACTATCGGCAATATTAACTTGACCTATATAGCTCGATAAGTATTTACAGCTGCTTATACAGAAACTTTCAAATAGAAATCTTATAAATTTGAGCAATAACAATTTATATAGATATACATAAAAGAAAATAACCAGAATATAGTGTAATTTAACGGACACTGAGGCGGCTTATTTTCGGAGCCAACATGATAGAAAACGATCATGTCTCAGTAATATGATACAATAATTCATAGTGCGAAAAACATACAATGCTACACCATAACATACCAACAACATTACCGAATATGAATTGAAGCTGATCTATATAGTTCTAACGAGAAATTATTGTTTTTTTCAGCAATCTGTTTAATTCATTTTTAATTCATTCTAAAGGTTCCTCACCCTTTTTCGAAACAGGCTACTCTGGATCGAACTAAGACATATGACTGGAATTGGTTAAGTTCATATCGGTGATTTACTCTGCTTTAAAAAAAAACTGTTTTCTAAAAGTTTCTTGTTTGTTCGAAGTTGTGTTTTATTGCTTGTAAAATCAGTGTTTTTATTATATTTTTTTATCATAAGCCATACTAATTTCTTATTATATAATGTGTGGCTGTATGTATTGTATTTTTCTTTACGATGGCAATCTAGGTAACGTTGTTCAACAATCTAATGTTGAATTTATGAGTGTCTTGACAATCTGATGTGGGACGAAGGAACCAATTTAATACTAACGGTCATGGCGACGTCCTTATATTTCACTATTTTGAGCTTAACAAAAAATAACAGTAAGTTTAATTTGTATTTATCAGATGAAAACTTGATGTATGAAACATAAGCAATCATGACTTTTGATGAATCTTGGATACAGATACAAGTATTTCCAGTGACTAGATGTTTTATTTCAGTGAATCATCTGGCTTGGTATGTGACTGAAAACTGAAATTCTTTCTCCTACATAAGTTTGTTGTTTTATTTCAACATATGTCAAAATGTGTCTCAAATAATATACATTCATCTGCCACCGGCAGGTTATTATTACTTTTCATACCTTAAATTACATGAATTGAATTGTTGATATTATTTTCTTAATTATTAATTTTATTTAGATATTCATTAAGAAAATCGTACTCTGTTGTTCCAACGAAAAGATCAAACAAAGAATGTGTAATTACTTGCACATACGTGATTTCAGAAAAGCCGTTTACAGAATTTGCGGTTTATAAACATATAAACATTTACGAATTTGTAAACTGTCGTTTGCCCAATTCGAACGTTCACCGCTCCTCACAGAATACTCGCTTCTGAAACATGCGACCCGGTTTACGCATGTACGCGGGCGTATCAAACAGAACATGATTGGTTGTGTGGCACATCGTGAACCACAGGGTGCATTATTATCCAATCATATTGTCTCATTTGAATTCGAATGAAACGATCGGTAAATATTTGTTATAACATAGGTATTGCTTTTCTGAAGTAACAGCGTAAAAAATAATGTATTGATAATCTTATTCAAACATTTGACTTACAACAATTTTCTTCATCTGAATTATCACCACAGCCATCGTTACCATTGCATATTTCTTTCTCTGGTACTAAGATACCATTCTTGCATTCTTTTAAATCTGCATATTGAAAGTATGAAATATGGTAGTTTTCCATGTGAACAGTAACTTACACAAGTATTACACTGAGAAAATGATTAACGTAGTGAATGTTCGCCACAAATCAAATACGCACATGTAGTTATATTTATATTCTACTATTATTTAATTTTTGTGCATATATTAATATAAGCACATTGTATGTAACAATAACTCGATTCTTCATTTAATGTGCATAATACAATAGTGGTTCAAATAATACATACAGTTGAACTGTTGGATATAAGTTCATTGCATTTCTGGTGCGTTCTGTATTCATTTGCATATTGAATATAGCCACCACTGAACAAATCTGATGACTTGGAGGGAAATCAATATATTCACTGTTCACTAAGTTCATTAATTCAATCAGTGGATTTTTTTTACACATTTTAGACATTTCGGCAACCGGCACTACCAAGTTGAAGTTTGTTAGAAACGAAGAAGTATGTCGACGCGAAGTTAACACCAAATACACTTTTTGACGAATGTATAGTGTTTTTAGTATATCTAGATGTGATGGCACAATATTTAATTACAAGCATCGATCAATCAGATTGGGAATTGAATATCAGGGTTTAAATATCACAAATATACATGATAATAATAATGGTTATTCTTTTCTTCAATACCCATATCGTGTAAATCATAAGCATCTCAACACTTGAATTACATATTCCCCATTAGGTTTAGTTTAAGAAATATATAAAGCATATCAATATCAATTCTATAGGTCTGGTAATACAAAACAAAACAAACAAGACAAGACAAACAAAATGACGTGTGACATAATTCTTAATTTGATATAATTAATATATCAAGTTTGAGCATAACCTGGTCATATTTGACTGAGATCATAGTCCCGTGCCCCAGAGAAGCTTGATTTTGATATATTTATAACATTAAACTAATCGTCATTTGTTCACATTGACGAGGATCGTCATACCAATTTACCTGCATACTATGGCATGACAAAAATAAAATTTAAACAAAAGTGTTGTGGCTCCTGATTTCCTTCTTATTTTACTTGTTATCTCTATAAAATACCCATTCCATTTTACAAAATATAATAACTGTAGTACATGTTTCCATTATCACTAGTTACGTCACAGCGAATATATCTACGTCAGCGGCGTGTCATTAACTGATTAATATGCATCAAACATTGATGAATGTTAAATGTATAATCCACGTTGCAACAAAAGTGTCTAAAAACGACTGATTTTCGCTTTTGACATTCTTGACTTTGATGATTTTTAGCACGGAAATCTTGAATCAACTCTTGACAAAACGAACCTGCGTATGCATTAAAATAAGTGTAATTGCCGTGTAAAGTTTGAATGCGACCCATCAAAGTGTGTCTAGCTATCGGAACGCAGAACACATGTGCGGATACCCACCAAAAGAATATTTTAAATATTCTTATACACTAACCATACCCTGGGTAATTGTTGGAATAACTACACACGTTACACCAGTAATCATACAGAGTTAACTATCGTGATATAATATACAATAACTATTTACCACAACCGTCTTCATCAGACCAATCACAACAGTCGTTATATCCATCACACCGGCTCCATTCATCATAACAACTACCATCGGCACACTTATACCCTGGTTCATTACACTCAGCTTGGGGTTCTGTCGACAACATTAATATTGTGTGTCATTGAGAAAGTTTAATTTTCAGCGTGCATAAATACATTATCTTGCTGGGAAGTCCTTATGATAAATAATCCAAGTGGACTTGCATCAAACACTTTCAACTTTAGGTTATGTTGACAACATTAATATTGTGTGTCATTGAATTGATTCTCAACACGTAGAATGTGCATCCGGTCGACAAGACGGTCCCGACAACAAATACATTATCTTGCTGCGAATTGCTTGTAAAAATGTAATAAATAATCCAAGTGGACTCGTATCGGACATGTTTGAATTTTCCTGATAATGTAGATCACGTTTGGAACATTATATGTAAATGTGCCAATCTAGTTTTATGATGCATGTGCAATACTCATCGAACACGTTCTATCTAAGACACACATATTTGATTAGAATGTAACGACAATTGGACATATGTATTTCCTACCCTAGGTAATGTGGTCTTTCCCAGATACCATGTGATTTGAGTGTTTTTCTATGAGTACAGAATCAACTGAAACTACACAATATGTCAGATTCTGATATTAATCATTAAGAATTATTGAATATGAATAGCTTACCACATCGAGATTCGTCGCTACCATCTGCACAATCTTCAAGGCCATTGCACACAAGGAACGGTGGAACAACATCTCCATTTGAGCACTCAACTAAATAAATAAATAAATAAATAAATAAATAAATAAATAAATAAATAAATAAATAAATAAATAAATAAATAAATAAATAAATAAATAAATAAATAAATGTGTCCGTACTAATGAAATAAATGTGCACTTACAAACGAAGTCTTCACAATTAAGCTCATCAGAGCCATCGGGACATTGTGGATAACCATCACAAACAAAATATATAGATATCATCCTTCCAAACTCGCACTCAAATCGTGGCACAGCTGAAATGAAGGGATTTACCAGCATACTCAAAAACATGATTTAAGGCATAATTGAATACACTGCAAAAACAGTCAGGTAACCCATCACATACTCACTACATTTAGTTGGTGATTCATCGCTATCAACAATACAGTTATAGTTAACAGTTTGATTATTTATTTCATCTACTTGGTGATTCATCACTGCCCTCAAAACAGTCGCGTAACCCATCACATACTTACTGCATCCGGTTGGTGATTTATCACTGCCATCAGGGCAGCCCGGTAACTCATCACATACTTACTACATCTACTTGGTGATTCATCACTGCCCTCAAAACAGTCGCGTAACCCATCACATACTTACTGCATCCGGTTGGTGATTTATCACTGCCATCAGGGCAGCCCGGTAACTCATCACATACTTACTACATCTACTTGGTGATTCATCACTGCCATCAAGACAGTCGTGTAACCCATCACATACTTACTGCGAATAAGTACTGATAAATAATTTTAAACTCATAGTCGCTGTCGACATAGGAAGCAAAGTAAGCAAATAACACCGAATAAACGGCAAGGTAAATATAGTAAATACGTACTGCGTGCGTGACTCGAACCGGCGCTCGCGTACGGCACCCAATCGCCTTGCTTCACGCCACTACACGTCTTCCCCTCGGCCACCTGGCATCTCCCAAAAAAGGATGCTTAATAACCGAGCTTATTACGTACAGAGAACATGAAACCCGTCCACGCGATCCGCGCCACATAGCGTGGCCAGAATGCGGCAAAGGCCTTCAGATCTGGCTGTAGTAGGATGGTGAAAGTAATGGTACAGCATTATAACAGTGAATAAGTACTGAGAAATAATTTTAAACTCATAGTTGCTGTCGACATAGGAAGTAAAGTAAGCAAATAACACCGAATAAACGGCAAGGTAAAGACTATGTCTAATTATAGTAAATACGTACTGCGTGCGTGACTCGAACCGGCGCTCGCGTACGGCACCCAATCGCCTAGCTTCACGCCACTACTCGTCTTCCCCTCGGCCACCGGGCATCTCCCAAAAAAAGGATGCTTAATAACCGAGCTTATTACGTACAGAGAACATGAAACCCGTCCACGCGATCCGCGCCACACAGCGTGGCCAGAATGCGGCAAAGGCCTTCAGATCTGGCTGGCTGACATACTTACTGCATCCATTTGGTGATTCATCACTGCCATCAGGGCAGTCCGGTAACCTGTCACATACTTACTGCATCTACTTGGTGATTCAACACTGCCATCAAGACAGTCAGATGACCCATCCCATACTTACTGCATCCAGTTGGTGATTCATCACTGCCATCAATACAGTCAGGTAAATTGTCACATACTTACTGAATCTAGTCGGTTATTCATCACTGCCATCAAGACATTCGGGTAACCTGTCACATACTTACTGCACTTAGTTGGTGATTCGTCACTGCCACCAAGTCATTCAAGTAACTCATCACATACTTACTGCATCTACTTGGTGATTCATCACTGCCATCAAGACAGTCAGGTAACCCATCACATACTTGGTGTACTGGTACACATACCACTCCATCATGACAAACAAAGTCTCCCGGGTAACAAACTGACATAGAAATAGTATGTGTAGTTCGTGAGAAGTGGTCAATATAATCAAATGAACGTATTAGTTGTTTTATATTAATTCGAATTGTAATTATTGACAAGGGATGACCACTATTATACATTATAATTGTGTGTTGAAAGCTAAGGTTGATATCGGAAATATCGTTGCAAATACATGACTATCAATGATATAGTCTTCTCCAATGACATCTCAATAAATATGCAATTCACCTCCACGCATATACTAAGTACAGATACTAAGTAACTATAATAATCTCAAGGACAACAGTAACACTTATTTATTAGTCTGATAATTTAATATGTAATATATGATACTTTATGATTATTTTTATTGTAAAAATAAAATGTCAATGTGACGCACACCGAGTACAAATTTGTTTCCTACCTATTGCCACTGTTTGTTTTTTTTTGACATGCGGAATGATATGATGATAAACCACCGAATAAAATACGTTATTTGTGCATTTGGGGATAATTGTTGCATACTAATAACTTCTCATAGTTGAAACTTACTTATATTAATAGAAGAAATAATAAATAATGTGTCTATACATGTGCCATAGATACAGTGATAGTATGTACAATTAATTACATTAAAGAAACAGCTTGTATTTTTTTTAAAAAGTTTGCGAACTCAAATTTAAAACATATTTCGAAAATCCCCGTTACTGCCATTTTAAATGTGTGTTTTTTTCTCCAATTTTTAGCTCCGCTGTCGATAAAGTTGACGACGCAGAGCTCTTCATTTAACTAATTGTCCGTCGGCGTCCGGTTTAGTATGTAGTCTGTAGTATGTCGTCAACTTTTAACATTTTTTTTTCTTCTTCATTAAAACCGCTAAACCAAATGCTTTCATATAATTTTGATGAATATTTTTGTTATTTTTGGTAAAAAGCAATATTTTCAACTCCTTGAAAGTCCAATTATTCTGATAGTATACATAATGTTCATTTTTAGATGATAATCAAATTTTGCATTGCGAATGGCGAAGCTATCTCAGCTGACAGGCTATTCTACGGCCCACCTCATCTCACTACGAATGGTGGATTGAAAACGGGAACATTCAAACGTTTCCATAATGCGCGGCTCTTACGTTGAACTTCGAGTGCGGGTTAAGAATGACATAGCCGAAAGTGATACAAAGAGGTATCCTGATAAAAATGCGAAATTATGATCTGTGGCTGTATAGGCGATATAATATGGGAAAGATGAACTTAACAACTACAGTTTGCTCAATTCAAATTCAGTATAGATATTTTAAAAATCCTCCTACTGCAATGTTTTTTTTTAAATTCGTTGTTGTAATTTGTTTCAATTCAGTAATAATATCACACAGTGCAGTCTATTGCGTCATGCGATTCTTCATCCCACCTCACCTCACTTAAAGCGTAGTGTTGCAAGCTGGAACATTAGAACGTTTACATGAAGAGCGCGACTCTTACGTTCAGCGTTCTAGTTTTAATGATGAAACGCGCGTCTAACATGGGAGAGAACGTGTTTACCTTGAAAAAAATGGTGAATTCATGATTTGTGTATGTATATACGATATAACACAATGCAACACAAAACTAACTAACGATTCATACTGTCCTAAATACTGTACCTTGTTTTGGTTCTAGACACGTCATACCACAATCAGTATCACAACATTTCTGGTTGAAAGGACATTCTGCGTCATGTTGACATTTAATGTCACACGACAGACCAGTGTTTGTGAATGGACAACGGCCTGGCTTTAAACCTGAAACAGTGGATACAATAACTTAGGTTATCTAGTTTCACTAAAATGCGCTCAATAAAATATCAACATCTCAGTCTCATTAAAAAAACATGGCTTTTACTGGCAAATTTGTAAACATTTTTTAATTATGCCATCAAATCTAAATAATGAATAAATAAATGATAGCTTACATCAATCGTTAACGATAACTTGTGTAAATCTGTACAAGTCGTGATTCACACTCAAACGAAAGTTTGTGATTCACTACCGTGGTGCTTATCTGCCCCACCGTAACCTTTATGCGAAGTACATATCACAATCAAATAGAGGAACAGTAATCAAATCACCAAATTCATTGATAAGTCGGATGTTTACATACATTTGTCAATGAGTAATACTTTAATTTTGAATGGTGAGTTAACTGTCGATACATTTTACACACTAGTACCTACAATTTATCCGAAAACAATTCACACAATCATTTGTATACAGTTTTTCCTAAGTCTTAACACAGTGCTGTATAGTACTATTTACCTTTACAAACTGGTGGTGGTTGGTTAGGAGCCGTAGCTGTATAAGCAATAACATTTCCATACATATTGACACATACGCATATGCCTGTCATCGAACACTGTGTTGGTGAAAAACTGCCATCTTTCTCACACTGAATTTCTATGTCGCGAAACTGATCGTTTTGACTTGCCGCCAAAGCAAACTCATGACAGTATTTAGGATCCTTCTCCACGTTAATGGCGTTATCTAGAATCATAAATCATCAAAATTATCATAATTGTTTTACACAATTTTCTGCTTATATATATGTAGTGAGTTATAATAATACTAAATGTCGGCGAAATGTATTTGTGTCCGCGCGATCTTTTGCGTTCTATGGGTCAATTTTTGTTCTGTCATGCACAACATAATTCATGCGTCCGATGTAAACAAAATAAACTTATTAAATGCGAAATAAATATTACGCCCAATAAGAAAGACTTCAATGATGTTCGTTACTATATCAAACTCATTCGTATTAATTATAATAATGTATGACATGTTCCATATACTGTTAAAAAAATAATGTCGTAGTGTGTGGGTATTGGGTGTAAACTCGGCGTGCCAGTTGTTCCATGCTATCTTTTGACAAGTATATCAAATTGAAAGATAGTATTCGTACACTCGAGAGAAAAATACCGTGCTTTCTAAAATGCTGAAAAATTAGATATTCATTAATGTTCGAAAACTACTAACACCGGCAATTGCCTCAACTAATATTTTAATTGCGTATAACATGTCCAGGTCGTGTAATGCATTTGCTTATTATTGCAATGAGTCGCAGCAATAAACTATATGTGTACAAGTACATACCTTGATTTTTAGCTGCACATATTTGATACAGTATACAAAACACCAGCACAACACTTCCTATTCTCTTCATTTTGCATTATAGACAAATATTCATTGTCCCAATGCTCAACAAGATTTTATATTAATAGTAATAGCAAGAAATTATTTTAGTAAAAACTCGGTTATTGCCTGTCGGAAATAGCGTCCCATGTTTCTCAATAACAATATTAATTTCCTGAAAAGACAATTAACTGTACCTAATTATAAACTGACCTGTGTGTATTCAAGCTACCATGGTGTATTTTATGATTAATAGGCATAATTTCAATTGTTACTGTAATTGTCCACGTTAGTACAAATTTTAGCAGTATATACATCAGAGATAAATCAATAGTAAAACGAGTTATACTGTTAAGGATGCTGTATACGTTTTTTTGCTTTGAAACCCAAAATTCTAATATTTTGTATTTCTCAATATTGGACTCCAAGGAGAAAACAGTCAGTAGGAAAAAAAAGTGAATTGGATGTTTTATAGGGTGTACAAATTCATTTTTGCTAATTAAAAACAAAAGCACATGTAATTGTTTTTAAAGCTATGTTTTAATTAATCACCCAAAGACATAATAGACAGATAATTTGCATAATAGTCACCACCCATAGCAAATATAAACAGTCTCGTGCATTCAGTACAAGCTCGGGCTAGTGATATTAGTAAATATTAGTAGTGTGAGCATGAAGCCAAAGAAAGACTTGTTTTAGCTTAATGAACTGAGGTACAAGTTACACTTCAATAATACACGCATTCACAGTGACGCATTCCATATACGATAGTCCACAAATTTAATTTCTTTGAAATTCTCGCTCTTCAAGCAGCCGACTATGAAACAGTCCCGCAGTCGACTATGAAAGGGATGAAAGAATGCGAATCCAATAAAATTTAGAGATGAAGGTACTAACGTTAGTACCTTCCATGATTTATTTGATCAGACTATGGAGGTAGAAAATTTGAGCACATGGCAGACTTATTTTTCGTGACCAAATTACAGATAATTACTGGTAATTGACTTCTATTTTATTCTGTCTGTAATATAATATGATTGGAGAAAGTTGGAAGGCTATTTCCGATTGCCCATTAACAAATAAGTACGAAAAGTCATTTCCGTGTCATTGCTATAAACATATGAATTAATGTTTAGCATATATATACTGAGTATATATGTTTCTATTGAGAAATGCAAGGACTAGGTGTTGGTGTACATAATAATATAGTCATGCATTTTGAATGATATACTTGTCAAAATACGAATTGCAATGCGCCAACTACATAAACTGCCATTACGTGGTTATACGTTATTTTCACACGTAATGTGTAAGTAATATGAGGTTATTACGAGAATACCTCATTGTATGTAGGAAGACAGTACAGCTGGAGTATCGACCGGCGCGCAGCCTGAGTGCGTACTTTGAGGTATTCTTGTAATAACCTTAATATTATACATCTTTTTCTTCCATGGATACATCATGGGGATGGCAAAACCCAAACAAAGTTTAGAATCAGCCAACTTCTTTGTGTGGAGTCCGGTTAAACCCTGATGGCAGTCATATTTGTTTGTATTATTAGAGAACGCTTACACGCGTAATCATTCCAAAATTAAAATTCGCATTTCTTTATATGGTAGGATGAAAATACCCCGTAAAATACCGCACAATTATGGCACGCTGTAACTTATGGCGTTATGATTGCAGATGTATAATATTATACAATATATTCAAAACATGCAGTATGAATTCAAGTGATTATAATGTTGACATTATTCTGATTTGTGCAAACTACTATTAGTGTGTTGATTTGAGATTTATAACTACAGCGAATTACATTAACTGCGTGAGTTGCAACAAAGCGATGCGATACAAAACGGTGTGAGAAAAGATGCATGTATGCATTTGTCAATATGCATGAACAGTGATGACACAGTATTAGCTTCCAAACAACCTTCATTATGTTTCGGTGCATTTAAATATTGGGTTGTAGAGTGGGTTAGAAATAGCGTGGTATTATTTAAGTCTTGTTATCGTGTATCTGGTAAATTGTTATATTAATCAACATGCCTCGTTACATACCATCTACTCAGTAGATTGTATTGATGTGGATACGGCTAAGTTTTAAAATTAATATCCATACTGAAGTGTCCATTGGATCACTATGTCAAAGTGTGCATTCATGTGTATAGTTTAATTGTGTGGTACGAACTTGATAAATCCTAGATAGTCTAAATACACACGTAATTAGATTTTAATTGGAGACAATGCGCTATTCAATTTAGCTTAGTGTTAAATACATATATTCACACTCACTGGGATTGTTAATAGCCACTGTATTAAACCTTGTATGTCTACATTGTATGTCGGCTGGCACGTTGGACAGTTAATATTTCTGCAGTTTGTGTGAACGCAATCTGGTTACCATAGTGATTATGCTACACTTTCGATCTCGATTTTTAGTTAACCCAGCTTGGTGAATGTCTGTGCATAGTAACTATTCGGGAACAACGAAATCACCTTAACAACGGCACTATGAGGACGTCACCTTGTATGCGTGGACAATTCAGCCGTGTCATAGTTTGGCATAACTATGTCCTTTGGTTAAAGCGGGAGGGTCGTCACCTGCGCAAGCGTGGGAATTGAGTCCGAAGCGAAGATGACAACAGACGCTAAAAACGCAAAGGCTCATGAGTAGACGATTGTTTGTAAACAATGACACGCTATGACCAACTGATGCATGCGCATGTAACGACACTCCCGCTTTAAGATACAGCTGTACAGTAGAATCTGGGCGAATGCTCGGTTTTCCACCTTTCAAAGACGGTGGAATAATCTAGTCTGGTGGACAAGTCTATAAAAAGGGGTCAAAATCAAGCCTCGTGGCTGGCGTTTTACTACTGGGGTCCCCTCCATGTAGCACGGGGTTCCAAGGAGGAACGTGACGAAGTGTTCGCTATTCGATGTTTGCGGGTAAAGACGAAGACTACATTAAAGACCGACTTTCCACAGTTTGAAACATCTGCTTTGGTGTTAGAAGACCACATGTACGGGGACTGCCGATGACGGAAAAGTATAGTGAAGAGTAATAATGTGTGTGACCACATATTGGGATGTCGAACTTTGCGTCAAGTAACTGGTTATTAGTAACAGGTCCCACGAACACATTAGAATAGGCGCATAGTTATTCCTTATGTTTTGTTTCGCATATTTCACACTTGGTCCAAACATATGTAGTCTTTGCGAATTTACAACAGAGATAGACCATTAGTCACCTCATGCCCTCGTGTGTATTATTACTCAAATAAATTTGGTTAGTTTGACCGTGAAAAGTATTCTATTGTCTGTTGCATGTATTCACACCACACTATTACTTCGTTCTACAACTACTAGATACTATGATTGTAGTTTCTGTCTTGGTTTCAAGAACCCACACAAGTTGGAATATCTGCATTATTTAGCATTAATTGGTTCGCCCTAGTCTCATCGCAATTTTCCGGCCAGTTTATGCAAACTGATGCAGTGACCTCTTGACACACTATACGAACTCCGCGCATAAAAATGCGCATTGTTATAACGAATCACAACCTGTCAAATGGATGTAAAACAACATTTGTTCATATGTACAAGACATCACAGGCAACCCAGTAAATTATTCAAATGACTTGTTATTGTATCGATTGAATCAGATTTGAAGCCTGACCACTGTTTATTCATAAACTCTGGTCAGTTATGTAAAATCGCATGGCCAGAGATCATATAATGTTCTTTCAACCAGAAATGTTGTGATAATGGTTTTTGTTTTACGTGTATAGAACCAAAACAAGGTACTGTACAGTATGTTGAAAGTATTAATAGCTTGTTTGCAGTTAGTTGCATGTTACGTTTTAATTATCGAGCGATGAAGGCGCCCGGTCACCAGTTCTATTGATCCTGTTTCATCACCACCTTGTAAAAATTGCTTTGGAATTCGAATAACGCAATTAAAGTAGTACGCATATTTTTATTTAACCTTTAATTGGTCACGTAATTGTAAAAGTACATGCGACTGGTAGGATAATGATTAACATAGTAGTTACCATGCATTGTATTCGGTGTTATACCTTGTTGAAAAATGAGAAAATGTTTCTAGGGAAATGCCCCATCCCAAATAATCAGTATGCGTTTTTGAGAAATCAACTAGTGCGCTATTGTTTGTCTCGTTGAGGGCATCGATCGTCTGTCAACAATTTCAATTTTTTGTTTTGAAAACTTCCAGCTTGCAATTGATTGCGTCAATAACTTGGTATCTCCAATTCTCTAGTTTTTGAAGAATAGTTTTTACCATTCTTGGTTATAAAATTATTTATTGAAAACTAACAGCCGATTTGTTAATGTGTCATATCTGCTGCTACTGCAAAAACTGTTACCATTGTTACCCCAGCCCTTTTTAATATTGCTTCAATTTCTTTAATTTGACAACCGTACATTTTGTAACAAGGGTGAAAATCAATAATTATCATCCCAACTTTTATGAATGTCATACTGTGTAATCGCAGCAACGTGTCAACACAGTTATGTAGATAAATTTGATTCAAGTGAGAAACAAATCTTACAGAGTTTTCAACATATCATGGAAAATTTGGTTCATTCACACATATCATTTAGTCCAGTGGATTTAGCCCTCAAACCGGCCAAACCGGGAAGTTAATAGTACATTAACAAGTTTGGTATCAGAAGATAGGGAATTTTTTGTAGATTTACCAAAAAACAAACAAACCAAGAACTGATAACATGGGCAATTTTTATTTTACACGGGTAGATGTAAGGGTTAGTGTTTTTCGTACATTTTAGATTTTTCTTACATTTATATTTTGTAATTAATATTACTTACAGCCTACACATTATTTCATATAGATATTGCTAGTGTTTTCTATACACTTTTCATTTAGATAAACTGAAGAATCTATAGAACAGAAATTTGCTGATGTCAGCATTTTTTACAATTATATTAACCTTGTCAAATAGTCAACCAATCTTTTGTTTTACCAGATACTCATCAGTATAACAACA